ATCGTCCTACTTTATGATTCAGCACCTTTTACCTGCCGCTTCAAAAGCTACCACCTCAGAGTCTTTTTTGGTCACCTGGACGCTAGTTTGAATACACTTACCAGCCGTCAAAGACTATTTGTCCGAGAAATGCCGCGCTGTCATATCAAACTGCCAAGTCTACTGCTGCTACCTCCATCGCCAAGAAAAACCCAACTGGCCCATTTTGTTTACCTTTTTGGTCACTTTATACAGCCCTTCAGAGAAGCCCACCATTCGTACACTCTCAGGGCGAAGTGATTTTTGATGTCTTTTCTGCTAGCTCCTGAATATCGGATACAACATTACAAGCGAAGACGTCTTAAAGGGGGGAAAGGGCAGGGGCGGGAATAAGGGATCGACTAGCGGGGATCTTGACCGGTGTACATGCCGTGTTCGTAATATTAAAATATATATATATATATATTTTATTTACCCAGCTTTTAAAAATACAGTGTTCCCAAGAAAGCAAGATAATTTATACAATAAAAAGCTGAAATTTTTTTCCGCCCAAAAAACCCAGGCTAAGAGCAATACACCTTGCTTCCAGTGCTAAAACAGACTTCTGTGCTCCGAGCTTTTCCAATTCAGCAAAGAAATCTGAAATATCAGACCTGAAGGACAATACGGTCCAATAAATGCCCGCATCTGCTGCTTGTAATACATTTCGGCAGCAACCGCTACACCCTGGAAAGATTCGCCACAGCCTGGTATGGATATGATCCTACAAATGATCAGCATCACTGAAATTGCGATTTAGATCTTAAAAAATCGCCACTTGTCAAGTTCTGCCTTTGGGATACTCTAATTTCTTTCTCATAACGATTTTTCTGATTTTTTAAAACTTAATCTTAAGTTTATATTTAGCAAGTTTAGATTGACTTTTAACCAAAATTTTATTGGTTTCAAATTTTCTTTCTAGCTGCACCGCTTCAAAAATCAATTTTTCACATCATAGAGCGTAAAAATTCAGCATACTCGAAGTAAACCTGACAAAATATAAAATGTTCAAGTTGATAAGATTAAAAAGCTAACTCGATATCCAGATCTTTTCCAATCACTCCCGTTTCATGCAGGTCTTCCAGTGAGACATTAAGCATTTTATCCTCGTTGGGAAGCTCTCCGAATGCACCAATATGTCCCAGGCGTAGCTTGAGCCGTCCCGCCGATGTTCTCGAAATCTACAGTTTTGTTTTCCTACTTTAGTGCACGTGCATAGAAGAAATATATACCAAGAATACCAAGACCGCCAGGAACGTAGGTCTGTCATGTTTATAATATTACTGGAATGCCCCGACAAGCCGAGCGCAGATATGTCAGAATAATAAACAAATGAGAAAAAGTAAAAATAAAACCGCTCTGACACCAGACACGTATTGTGCTTACTACGCGTGTACACCATATCCTCAAGGGTTATGCGAGTGATCATTTTTGTCTTCAAAAATACTGCTCGCTACTGATTTTGAAAATTATCAAAGTAAATTGAAAAATCAGCCTCACATGTGAAAAAATAACCTCTCGATCATCCTGGGTGTACCGCATGGAAGCCAACTGCTCATCCGAAACATGATTAAAACTAATACTTCCATTTTCTGATCGCTTCCAGCGAAAAAGCGTTGATTCTGCTGCTGTTGGTAACAGACTGCTGATGTTCTGCACTACATTTGTAAAACTCTCCGCCTGGCTTCGTTGAATTTGGGTAGCTATCAGCGAAACGATGATCGGAAGTGATTTACACAAGATTATCATCCTTTTTATAATCAAAATGCGGGCATTTTCCTGAAGTGTTATACAATGTGGGTGACGTGCAAGATATCAGATGCGGGTAAGCAAGAAAGAATAGTCCGACGGGCATTACTGACAACTGGTGGATGATGGCATCACTTGTTAATAAATGGTACCCGCGAGAAAGTAAAAAAAAAACCATAGAGGACGCAGATACATCGGATGGGCGATGGGTACAAATGAAAGATTTGCACCCGAATTGGAAAAGCCTGGCACAACTGCTCCTATTATTTCTATATAGTCTTTTAATTCATGGAAAAATTTGAAATAATGAATGATTTTAAGCTTGCGCTGTAACACAATTCAGGATATTATCGGACTAGCAAAATTCAGCCAGTGACATCCCTGCTTCACCTTCATATTGCTAAGTTTCAAGATATTTGAATTTTAATTTTTATTAGTTTTTTAGTTTTTTATACGATTCACTGAAGCACTACTGTACGGCAGTATTGCCCATTTACTATATATTTTGATATAATTTTTAGGTGTGTATGTGCATCTGTTTTTATAGGTAGCTGAATTTTGCTGATGATTTACAAAGTCGGAGAACTAGAATCCAGAAAGCATGCTTTCCAATTTTAAAAAAGCAAGAATCCAAAGATTTTGATTTTATAGATTTTTTTTGCCGGATGAGGAAAATTGCAAGTGCTACCTTCCACTGGATGAATTTAGGCCCAATTCCAGACGGACTTTCACAAATTTGCGTCAAAAAATACGCAGAATCTAAAAATTTAAGGCTCTGTTGTAGATAAATGGCCTAAATTTGACTTATGAATTAACGACTTACGATTTAAGCTTGACTTACGAATTCCATAGGATCCTAAATACGAGCTATGAAAGTCAATTTTAATTGTTTGAAAGTTAAAATTTCATGAATTTTCAAACAAAATTCAATTTAAGTAGTCTAAAAATAATTTTTTTTTTAAATCCTACGAGGTCTACTGTACCGCTTTCCACCTCTATATTCTCGACCCTGAGGAAAGCAGCAAACACCCGAAAGGACCTGGTTATAATACCGAGAGCTTGATAGCACTAGCTTGAGTAATCGCGACTAGTTTTTAAGACTCAGAAATTTACAAATTGATCCTAACGGCGGCTCGGGAACTGAGACAGAAAGTGAAATCCTGTGAAAGCAAAAATTGTTCGAGATTTGTTAAAGCTTTAATATCGTAAAAGCTCTTAGTAGGATGAGAATGAGGATTTTTCTCGACTGAATGACTGGAGTTACATCCAAGGTGAATCAAAGGTGATTTGTACTTTGAGGGAAGAGGTGCCTTTGCGGATTTATCTCGAAAAACACGGATTAAGAGGCTTTTTGCAAAATTACTCGGGAGACATCCCGGAAGCAATTCTGAAACGCGTTTTCTCAAAACAAACTGACAAAGTAAGGGAATGTGCTAGTTCAGTGCATCCTTTTTGCAGAACCGATTAGAGAATGTCCTGAACATCCGAAAATCGCTTGAATAGTCGATGTGGAGATTTCATACCAGTGATATTGCAAAATTTGGAGATTTAGTGGTGCGGAGTCCTTTTTCGTATTCAGAAGTTAATAGCGTTATATTTGTTGATTAGTATATACCGTTAATCAACTGACCAAATGTTGTTGATCGGTGACCACGTAATCGTTATCGAGTGACCAAGTCTCATTGTGAAAGGAAATGAGGTCGAAAGAAGCACCGCCACATATATTAGCAATAGGGTAGCGTTTTTTGCACCTGTGCAATGCAGAAACCGCATATTGACGAGAGGTTGTCTGTGTGTGTATGTGCGTTTGTGACGGTTTTTCATCTCGAGACCTACAAAAGCTAGAAGGCTGAAACTTTGGGAATTCAATCTACACGCATGTGCGGGCCCTTCTCCCCAAAAATGGTCACTCATGCTCAAGCGGTTCTCATGTACGGGCCCGTGAAAGTTTCTTTCGGGTAAGTTGCTAACTCGGGAACGTGAGAAGCTAGAAGACT